ATTGACAATTTAGAATTACCTACCTATTTTCAAAATATGGTGAAGGCGGTCAAACCCAATGCCACAAATTTTGATTTGATTTTAGACCGCATCCATAAACTTCCTAAGCCTAACAGTGCACCTGCAGCGGCTCCCAAGTACATTATAGTTCATTTCCATTATTATTATGTCAAGGAGGAATTACTGGGAGCTACACGCATGTCAGGACTACCTGAGTAAGGACTACCTGACTACAACAATATTACGATCTTCCCTGACTTCTCAGCATATACAATGAAAAAACATAGGGAGTTCCAGCCCTTCACTTCTGAGCTACGTCACAGAAACATTAGCTATAAATGGCGTTTCCCCGATAAGGTTTCAGTACGAGATGACTTCCAAACCTTTTTTCCTGATTCTTGATTTCATGCTTTTATTCAGAAGTTTGGAATAATGTTTCCTGGTGATTAGTTTAGGATTTCTACTTAATTTCTGCTCATCAGGTGGTTCCTGTTTCTTGGAATTTGTTACGATGTTTTGCTTTTTCAGTTCCTGGTTTTTTTCAGTTCTTAATCCTGAACTTGTCTGCTTTTATTCTATACATTGCAACTTTTCTGACTTTCTTTTGTGATTTATTTTTTTACTTTATTATTATAAATTGCTATTTTTCATATTTGTTCAATTTTCTTTTTCTATTTTTTAAAAAATGTTCAAACCTTAAATTGACTGAATCAGCGATTAATAATTATTTTAGGGAAAATTCGGCTTTAGATTTACAGGATTCCTCCTTTTGGAATGCCCATAAAGCAGTTCCTAAGGGACACTTCATATAACAAGCCTTCTACTTGAAAAAAAAATGGTCTAAAAATTTGAGAGGTTTAGAAAAAGAACTGTATACTTTGTATCAGGCTAACAAATTTGGCCCTTCCTTGCACCTTGCTGCAAAGCTTTCAGTTGTTAAGGTTAAAATGAACACTCTCCAGTTGGAACACACAGCCTTGATGTTGAGGAGATTGAAACAAGCTTTTTATGCTAATGGGAATAAGCTTCATCAATGCTAGCTTCTAAATTATGCAACAGGGCATCCCAATCCAGAATTGAGCATTTAATGGATGATAGTGGCGTTAAAGTTACTCATCCAGTCAAGATAAGTAATATTATAGCGGAGTAGTACAAAAAATTGTACAATTTGGTTTCCGATCCCACTGCGATACGCCCACATCTGATACAATACGCTATTTTTTGGACAGAGTCTCTTTAAAACAGAAACCTACAGATGAATTGAATATTCTAAATTCTCCCATCACCCCAAAAGAAATTACAGATGCCATTAATATAATCCCACAAGGCAAAGCCCTGGAGCCTGACGGTTTTACCATGACGTACTACAAGTCTTTCTCTGACATTCTTACCCTTTATTTAACTCACGTATTCAATCATTATTGGAATACAGGTGGAATGCCATGGGAGGCTTTGTGCGCACAAATAGTCACGTTACCTAAACCTGGTAAGACACCTAATCTCTAGTCAAGTTTTTGCCCCGTTTCATTAATTAATAATGACACAAAAATTTATAATTTTTTTTTAGCTAATAGACTTAATCAATTTCTTCTATCCCTAATTGACCAAGGATGGCACCAGGCATCACGATCACCGTTAATGCACACGTTATGGTGTTTCAAACATTCTACACCATCCTTTTGTTTTATCTATCTTTCTTGTAGATTGTATTTGTTATATAAGTTACTAATTGTGTTGTGAGTTTTACATAAAATACATAAAGAAGGGATAATGGTAAAAAGTGCCATTCTCTCACTTCACTGCAATAACCTAATCTTTGAAATAAAATTGGTGCTGTAAATCTTTACTGTTACTGCTCTAAAATCTGGAACTAAATAGTTCCAGAATAACTTGAGAAAGTTTCCATTATTAAATCTTTTTAAGAATGTTAGTCTATGAATAAGTACTTTAAATGAATATGGACAAAACACATCAGATTTTGCATGCTGTGAATTTTGCTTTTCAATAAAGTAGGCTGCTGAGATTTGGAATGCCTTGTTGGTAACTGGGTAGCTATGTCTCTAGATCAACTTAATAGCAACTTAAAGGGACGCTCCACTGTCCAAAAACAAAATTCACTGTTGAGTATACATACCCCAAATGGAGTGTCTCTTTAAGAAGTTTGTGTAATTACCTTACTTGTGTCCTAACTTAAAACAAAATTGCAAAAGTCATACAAAAATAACTGAGTTGTTAAAATATCTGTCTTTAAAATGTGCTTACAAATAGTTAGACAGGCAGGCAGTGAGAAAGAGAAGAGAGCATTGCTAACTTTATGGCTCATTTTTAAAAATATACAGGTCCTTAGGAGTTTATAGTATCTTTTTGGCATGGATTCTGGTGTGCAAAGTTTCCCCAGTTTGTATGCTGCAATCACAGCACTTTTTGTGAACTTCAAGAAAGCAGCACCTACATCATAATGTCAAGACAAAAATGGATGGGAGCCTTGGACCCATACCTTTCCAACCGAATAGACTCAGTGGAAGCCACAGGTCTGACAAGATATTAATTTTGTTGTAATGTATTTTCATAGATAATTTTTTAGGATGTGTTATCTTACAAAGGATAAGTGTTTGAAATTGAAATACTACATATGCTTTGCATATTTAATGGCACAAATATATTGGTTTTCTCTATTTGTGCTGAATTTACTTGGTTGAAAGTACTTGCATATGTTAAGAATTACCTCAACTAAACCTATGTATATTAAAACATGTAATTGTTCTCAATCAGTTTTTACAGACTTTGCTCTCTTTAAAATAATTTTTACTTTTAGGAGAATAATTCTTCAAGTAAAATATGCTTGGTTATTTTTTGATTATTGCTATATGTATATCATTTTCTGCTTATGACTTTGGAGCAAGCCACAATAGTGTATATTACTTTCATCTTTTTCTATTTTTGCAATAGTGTTTATTTGAGAATAATTAGTAAACTTGCAGTCACCATTGCGTGACCATATTTTGATGCGCTTATGTATGGGGTGATTAGTGTAGGTGGACCTCTTTCCTTTGATAATGAAAACACTTGAAGAGTTTGCTCGCAGGTGCTGAGGTAATAATAGCCTCTAGCACCAGGAATAGTTTGCTTTAAAGTGGATTTTAGAAAGTAGAAGGATCTGTTGTACCATTTGATACATATTTCTGTTACTGGAATATAAATAAGCTCTAGTTAAATATTCAAAGATGGACTGAGCAGAGACTGATACCAGGTAGTATGTTAAGAGGGACCTTGCGCAGGATATTCTATAGTCTCTAGCTGAAAACTTTTTCTAATTATTCCCTACAAACACGAGACTAGGCTGCGTATTGAGGGTTAAGCAGATCTGAGAGTTTAATGTGCCAGGCTGGCCTTTTATGCAACTTTTCCCACAAGGTTACCACCCAGGTGGACTTTGTGGGGCACCGAAAAATACAGTTAACAGCCAATGATGTACAATCACAATTTTAAACACTCCCATTCATTACATAAAATTCCTCCCCTCTGCTTAGGAGATAATTGAGTTAATTACTGTATCAACTCAGTTATCTCCAAATTAAAAATGAAACGTTTTACACATTTTCAGAAATATCATAAAACATATATATTCTGATAGGGCATAATTAGGGTACCAACATATTAAAAAAAAGCATACAAACCGGTTCAGGGGTTCGGGAGATAGATGGAAGTTCCATTTCATGCCCGGCCGCACACGAGGCTCCTGCCCAAAATAGTTCCATGTATTCAGCTGGTGCTGTATGTTATAAAATGTTGAACAACCATTCACATAAGTGTTCGTGAGTTTGATGGTCATGTGCCGCTTCATTCATATAGTGTTTTTACTGAGTGCCGCCTCCTTCGGATCGATTATCATGAATCTAAGTGGTCCTGGAAGTCTCAGCTCAGTTCCAGGCACTTGATGACCAAATCCCGCTGGACGGGTTCAACAAAACAAGATGGCCACCGCCACGTGTTCGCGCATACGAATCAACGGCCACCCAGTGAACCACTTAGAATTTTGAAGTTGTGGTTTGGCACAGAGTCAATGAGTCAATTGGCGGCACACAACTGGCTTGGGTGGTCTCTCGTTCGACAAATTGTTCGGTTATACGAACAGATTAACATAGCTCATTTCCAAATTCGTATGTTTGGGTGAAATGCAGAGTCTTGTACTGAGAGTTCAACTGTAACAATGTTATAAATCCCGTAACCAGGCAAATAAACAGGGTATCTATTACAAATGCGTATTGGCTACCTTTTTAGGACTTTTCATTACTGCAAGTAATATTTTATATGTTTATGTTTACATTGAAATAAATTATTTGGAGCCTCCAGGAATCTTCATAGGGGTAGTGCCAACCCTTCTAAATTGGCACAATATCTGCACACCTCAGAGTTGGGATTGCTAGGCTCAGAACAGGTTGAGCACCCTATTTTATCTTGTTAACACTTTTACCCCTTGTTTAACAGACTACACGTTGGCTCGACTCTTTTAAGTTTCCTTTTTGAGATTCATTTTACAATGTATTGGAGGTGTGGTGCTGCCATAAAAGCACACCAGCTTAATTACTGAGCCAGTACTCACACACTGGCTCCTTAAAATGTGAGTGTCCTGGCTTCAATATCACATATTGTGTTCCACTTTATGTACCATCTACACTATACTGTATTTTTTGTCTTTTATCTTTTATATGTATCTCAAACCAAGCTTTTAAACAAGTTATGTGTGGTAAGTCTACCTCACAAAAGCACTATATATACAATTTGTTTAGCGCTCCACTTATAGGTGTAGGCTCTCACTTACACCAGTTTATAGACTTTTTTTACTTTTTTGTGGATAAGAGGATATTTCCACATTAGTGTATAGAGCTGCTTCTATTTTATTCACTTTTAGCACTTTTATTGTTACACACACCCTTCTGTATAGGAGGTGTATTTTGATTTGCTTCCAGTGAGGCTTCCCTGAATAAACTGGGGACAGCATGCACACAGACAGTGCAAGAACAAACACCCACACCACCCATAAACCCCGCTGGCATGCCGGTGACAGAGGGTATGCTGAGAGGCCTCTTGGACATCTCCGATGCAACATGTGGACTGATTCAATGAGGATTTCGGAGCGGTGTCCGTGCTTCTCCATGATGCAGAGCTGAACACAGCATCCCATGAAGCCTGACTTTGTACACTATACAGGCACTACAGCGCAATCACGCCCTCGCACAAGAATGCATGGCAGCAATGGAGGACAGAAGGAAGTGGTCTAACAGATGACATAACCGCTGCTGAAATTCCTCACTCCTTTAGGAAACTACTACAGAATCTCGTCCTAGCCAAACAGGCTAAAACCATGCTGCTTGACAGCTACTACAGGATACCAGCCTCTCCAAGGGCCAGTGCAGGGTCCAAAAGGGATTTCATTATCTGCTTCCAGAGCGGGCAAGATCGCCTCACCTTCATGGCTGCAACTCACAACCCTATCAGTTTGAAGACCACAACTTATTCTATCCAGACTAGTCAAAGGCAACTCTGGTCTGGAGAAGAACTATGCGCCCACTGACTAAGGAATTATCTGCTCACAATATACCTTACAAGTGCAGTACCTCCAGATGCCTGGTAATCACACTGGGACGTTAAAAGTTACAGATGCATCAAAAAACTGCAAGCACCCTTCAGCAACTTGGGCTGCAGACCGACACAGGGGAACTATACCCTCCACAGACATTACTACAGCAGAGATCCTGGTATTCAGACAAAATCCGAATGTTTCTTCCAGCTGCGCAGTACTGAATTCCTGCAATGCAACAATACCATAAGTGACCAGCTTGCATTGTATATCACTTGTCACTGTTTTTATGCCTTATGTTACCTTCTGATTTTAATTTGTTTACCTGTTTTTCTAGCCATATCTCTTTCATTAACCATATACGGAGTGTCCTTAGATGCTCCCCCTATTACATAGCCTACCGTACCTGCTGACAAGTGGAGCTTACCTCTCCACAAATTCATTATCCCTCAGCCCACCAATGACCAGCACTTGCTAGTCTCTCCTCAACTAAGTGAGTGATAGCCTCTGATAAATGTTGACCGACCTTTGGCCCTTTTAGATTTCTGAAGACACAGCTCGCATTCTCTGCTCATCTACATTTAATAGCTATGCTTAAATTCTTTATCTCTTGAGAAAGATGCTATTTACACTACGTTAGAACCTTACGTTAATTTTATTTGATTGTGTATTTTGTATTCTATATTACTTTTATAATTTCTATAAAATGAGGCCGACATCGTCAGGAGGAGTTTAATGTCCACCACTTCCTACTATTAAAATGAACCTGGTATTGTCTGTCAGACTGCTACGCTCCTATGAATTTCTATTATGACTGCTGTTTTAATGTTGTAAAACAATAACTTGCTTTCATAAAACAAAGATTGACAAATATATATATATATATATATATATATATATATATATAAAGTGTTCACTGTTAAAACAGGCAAAAGTAATAAAAGGGAAAGTACTCACAAGTGGAGAGCAAAAGAGGTTTTGATCAATCTGTATGGCGCAGGTGGTATAATCCCCACCAAAGAATTTGCAGGTACAATAATTGGAAATTGTCAATTCAGAACAAAACTAGAACCAGGAAAAAAGTATTCAGACACCCATTACTTCCTATGGGAGGGCTGTTTAGCAGATTGCACCATAATTTGGTAATCTTAAAATATGTTAATCCCACATAAGGATACCAAATATTATCTACCCAATGACCAAAAATAAGAAAATGGCTATATGACATTGCCATAATTAAGGGCACTAAATGACGGAGATATCTGTTAAACATCATCCCAATCCAATATATTTTAATATGACAAACCCACGCGAGAGTACCAAATTATGGAGTCAATACCAAAATTAAGAAAATGGCTTTTCATAAATTTTATGTTTCAGCTATTTAGAAGAAACCTGGGGGGTGGGGCATTACAAATGTCCACCAGTAAATCATATTAGAAGTCACAGGGCTGTAGATGATGCATAGGAGGGTTCAGGTCTGTAGTTTATACAGTGGGATAGAGGCTGTTGTGAGGTAATAGGGGCTTTAGTGTACAAAGGGATTTAGTGAGTGCATTGGGGATAAGACTGTAGTGGGTGCAGAGGAGGGAGAGGGGCTGTAGTGGGTTCAAGGGGTAATATAGTCTCTAGTGGTTAAATGGGGTATTATGGGCTTTAGTGGGTTTAGGGGTAGGACAGGGGGAATGTATATGTATTGATCCAAGAGTCGTCACTGGCTGTGACATGTCACCTAATGATTACATCATGTTATATTTAGCACTTCAGTTATAATCGGTTATGCATATTTCGTCCATAGGTTTGTTGTCATTGGTAAAGGATTAGGACTTAATTTTTGGTTAGATAGTACTGTTTCTTCTGTTCTGTAAATTTGCCCTGGTAAATAGATTAATGTTTAGATAAGTTAAAAATACAACACCATATGAGAACAGGGAATTGAAAATACCAGTCTGATGAGTTTCAATTATTAAAATTAATCTTATCATAGCAGCATATAAACTTAATTCTTCTATTATGAAAAAAAATGTCAAGAACATCCCAAGAAAAATAATAGCATGTCTTACATTTTTAAAAGACAATATTGTGATTAGTTCGACAACTGTTTAATTAGTCACCCTATCAATCAGCAAAAATTATGGAGATTGCTTATTACCCTTCAGCATGAATTATTCACATAACACATTTTATTGCAAGCATAGCAATGTTAAATATAAATAACAGAAAACAGCCAAATGAGAAGATTATAAATACAGGATTTGCAATATTCTGATAAATATAAACAAATTAAGCAAAACTAAGTTGCAAAGATGAGTTTATTTAAGTAATTATGCAAAATATGCCTAAGCAAGCTAGAGAAACAGTCTACATTTAACCCCTTAAAGACGGAGCCAATTGTACAAGTTGTGATCAAAACAAAATGTAAACAAAACCTGAATTTTGCGCTATATCTCTGTTCAACCGTATTTGACCTGTTTCATATTAAGAACACCCATTTTTATTATTTTATATTTTATTCAGGAAAAACAGGGTTTTATATTGAGCTAAGAAACAGGACCAAACTTCTGGAATAAAAGGGAATCATTACATGTCACATGCCATGTGTCCTTAAGGGGTTAATATGAACAAAATATAAAAAAAACTATGAGAAATTAAGAAAGTTTGTTATTTTTTTAAGTTCTGCCTGGAATTTTAACTGTGAAAGCCATAATACTGTTAGCTCTTATTGCAATAAAGTACACATATTTGTATTCAGCTATGTTTCATGAGTAAAATAGTACCCCCCATGTACAGGTTTTATGGTGTGTTTTTTTTTAAGTTACAGAGTCAAATATAAGGCTTGCATTTTAGTTTTTTCACATTAACATTTGCCAGATTGATTATGTTGCCTTTGAGACCGTATGGTAGCCCAGGAATGAGAATTACCCCCATGATAGCATACCATTTGCAAAAGTAAACAAACCAAGGTAAATGGGGCATGCCCAGCCTTTTTTGGCCAGTGTTTGTGACTAAGTGGCTACTAAAAAAGACTGGACATACCCCATTTGCAATACCTTGAGTTGTCTACTTTTTCAAATGGTATGCCATCTCATTCCTGGGCTTCCAAACGGTCTCAAAGGCAGCATAACCAATCTGGCTAATTTTAATGGGAAAAAAATGGTAATGCAAACCTTATATTTGACTCTGTAACTTTTGAAAACATCATAAAACCTGAACATAGGGGGTACTGTTATCCTCGGTAGACTATGTTGAACACAAATATTAGGGTTTCAAAACAGTAAAACATATCACGACAATTATATTGTCAGTGAAAGTGCCATTTGTGAGTGAAAAATGCAAAAACCTACAATTTAACTGACAATATCATTATTGTGATGCATTTTACTGTTTTGAAACACAAATATTTGTGTTTAGTGAAGTCTCCTGAGTAAAACATTATCCCTTAGTACAGGCTTTATGGTGTTTTGGAATCTTACAGGAGTCAATATAGGGCTTGCAAATTAAATTCTCTGGACTTTCTGCATGGGTTAATTATATGTATATATTTTTTTCTTTTTATTTATAAATTTATATATATATATTATTTAATTCTAAGTGTAGTATATATGTAATTTCATGCCAATTGTATTTTTTTTTTAAATAATTCTTTATTTTTGATGTGCAAAAGATGTTACAAACCAGCCACAGCAGCAATAACAGACAATTCAAGGCTTACAATATGATGTATATAACTGCACACCTTTTTTTAGTAGTAAACAGAATAAAGCAAAATATGCCATATGGGTGAGTATGCGTGGCAGTGAGAGGTTGTGTAAAATCAGAATATAACAATAAGAGCATACTTTAAAGTAATAACAGGCTACTATTACACATACATGCAAATCTGGGAATGGGGATGAGTAGTAAGATACTAAATCACTCTGTACTCGAGATTTGCTAGACATGTAGATTATCAGGATAACATAAGAGGTGCTAGATTTATGAGCACAGGATTTTAAGCAACACTGACATGTTTAACAGTGAGTTACAAGATTATCAATCCCAGACAAACAATAGGGTTCAACTCTAGCCTAAGTGACCCTAGAGGAGGTACTGGTGGTGCATCTGGTAATACAGGGGGTGACCTCTTCCAAGTGTCCAGAAGAGTCAGCCGGTGATGACTCCAGTCATGAGTCGGCGACAAGAAGCAGATATGCTGCAGATCAGATCAGCACTCAGGCGGATATGTGGAGCGGAAGAGTGGTCGGCCCCGATACAGCGAGCCCCCCGTTTGTCTTGTTCATCCCCTTCTGTGGACAACGATGCGTTGAGCGGGTTGAGGTTTTCCTCCCCTGACTCTCCATCTCCTGGGGGGAGTTTGGGCGCTCATGCTGATGGTGTGTTGGGGATATGCTAGCCCAGTGGCTTTATTAGCAGGTGCAGGCGTCACACCAGGGCCCAGCGACTCCGCAACCTGTTCCAGAAGGCATTGCAGATGCTGTCGAAGGCTGCTAGAAAGTACTGTCGAGGTCGCTCATGCCTCATGGAGTAGGTCTCTGCCACCATCTTGGAGGTGAAGACTAGGCCCCAAGGTTAGCTGTGTATGCACAGGTCAGTCAGAGATGGTCAAGCGTGGTTTTAGATGCCGAGATATCCCTGACCAGCAGGGGGGGGGACATGTTTCCTGTCATAGATTGCGATTTAAGGGATTGGCCGCCTCCCTCTCCCACATCTCAGGATTGCTCTGGAGAGTCAGGGCAGGTGAAGCAGTATAAGCTTACAAAAGAGCAGGTTAGGAGCACCAGCTGTGTAGTAAGTCATCAGGGTCGTACAATGCTGGTCTTGTGTGGTATAATTCAGCTTGAAGGACCAACTGACATTAAAAATCCAGGAGCTCATGAAATGTGTGACAGCTCACCATGCTGGTAGGCCCCGCCTCCCGCCAAATGTATTCTTATATGAATATGTATTTATTTAATAATATAAAAATACACTAAGTATGAATTATATATATATAT